TTAAAGAATATAATTACAGTAGGTACTTGTAAGACATCAACAATCTGGGAAAAACTGACAAAAAGAAAAATTCAACAACTTATAATAATAGAAGTAGTATAGTTTAGGAATAAAATTTGATCTTTATTACAGGAACACTAAAGAGACGATTCTCAAAATTCTGATAACAGCAATCTTCTTTAAGGAAGCATCGGAGTTCCACTGAAGTCATCATTGTCAATATAACCTTTCCAAGTCCAAGCACAATAACCCAACTCTGCATATCAAAACCACTCATGATTTTACCAGACAATTTGGAATGATCCCTAATGGATTTCCAAGGTAATCTGGGTTGGCTACTCAAAGCAAAGAATGCTTAAAGATCATCGTCCTGGAAGCAGAGGTGACCTTGAGGGTGTTTTAACAATTCTGAGCAATATTGTGATTATTTGGTACAACGACAAGGAAAAGCAGCAAAAGAATGAGTAAGAAATATTTTAGCTAAACAACAACAGTAAGTTCCTGGTGATAGATAGCATGTTGCATTTCATAAAATCTTCACCTAAAAAGCTTGAAGCAGTTAACATTAACCATAATTATGTTCAATGGAAGGATAATCAGTAAAGCCAACTCCATTATCTTTAGTTACAAGAGAGAGTAATGGCTTGAGTAGCTAAAATTCTAAATTTTACAAAGGATCCCCTTAAACCTCCTTCACCACACTTTCTAGTACTGCTGCTGGCTAACTGGATTGACAGATTTTAATCTTAGCTTATCTTTCCTGATGCCAGCAATGGGGCAAATGATCCCAAGTAGGCTGTAGTAGAAAAAAAAAATTAGTTGGTATTCTAAAACTGCACATAGAATTCGATTAAATTTACCCAATACATATTGAGCACAAACAGAACCATATTAAAAACTGATAGGCCTAGGTCCCTGTGCTTTGCAGGGTGGAAGAGGAGTCCCAAGAGGCTTTGATAACATTGAATAATTAATTGTATAGCCATTGTCACCATCTTCATTTTCTTATGGACCAATTAAGTCTGGTGAAAGGCACAAAACAAGAACATTCAAGGAAATTCAGAACACAGATAAACTTTAATATAATAATATACTGCTTGCTAGATCTATTCACTGAATAACAAATATTTGAGGATCCACAAGCTACCAAACACTTTTTTATGTACTGGAGATACAACTGGCATCAAAACAAAGTCTTTGCTCTCATGAGGGTTAATCTAGTGACAATGCATACTAGTCAACAACTAGGTAAGACTCACACTAAACTTTACAAACCAAAACCTGAAAATGGTGAAAAGTTATCTCTCAGTAAACTAGATATCTGAGAGAACATGATTAGCAACTTTATTTTTTTAAGATTGGGATGTAATGGAATTTGCAACTGGGGAACAGAAATAGGACAGATGCCCCAATTCCAAGAGGAATCAGGGGAGGGAAGATATGCCCAATTCCAAGTGGGGTCAGAAAAGGGAAGACAGCTTAACACTAAAGGATCACAATGCTTTTTCCTCAAATGATACTCAAGCCATCTCAGTGGTGGCTTATGAAACAAAAGGACTCAAAGAATTCTTTTTCAGATTTTCCAGTTTTTACAGAACAAAGATTATTTCCTAAGCCACGCATGTCCTTGAGCAAGCCTCCTTACCCAATTGGACCGGCTGGGACAGTTTCCCACAATTACCTCAGGCATCCTACCAAGGCCACACTCTGAGTCAGAAATGGAAGTGCTCCTTGATATGCCCTAGAAATATGTCAATGATCTCATGAAACATACTTACACATATATACAGAAACGTATTCAAAACGCTCAGATATATATGTATATATACATGAGTGTAGGTAGGTGGGGCATAGGTAGGTGGTTAGAGAGGCAGTTCCTATCTGGTTGATAAAGAGGCAAACAACTAGGTCAAGGTTCAAAACCTACTTACCCATTTTTTTCTAGGGTGAATCCTACTTTCCCACATACCAAGAAGGTATTTTTCCATCGGCAGAAGAGAGAAGGAAAGAGGCAATATCCTGTATGAAGCACTATATTGGTGGCATAACTTCACATATTCCAACCCGTCCCCATCACAAACTGCCTTCTCTCTTTACCTAAATAAAAGGCTTCCTCATCTTGAGGGTTGAAGCATGTAAGATATATTTTTGAAAATTGACCTTCTAAGCTAAATACTAAGAAGTACATACCCTGTGACTCTAGTCATAAAGAGCATGCAAAACTCACATAATTAATTTATCCTGTTAGAAGTCAGGAGAGTAGTCACCTTTCACAAGAGGAGAATGCTTAGCAGCTGGCATGAGGGATGTGCAGGGGTGCCAGTAATGTACAACTTATTGATCCAGCTGCTGGCTACACAGGAGCATTCACTTTGTGAAAAATCGGCAAAGTGCACTTATATGCACTCTCCTACATCTACATTACCTTTCAATAGGAAGTATTTTTTAAATTTAGTTTCCTAACAACTTGTGGTTGATTACTAATTTATATCTAACTCTTCCTGAGACATTAAATTATTTAGAAATTATTCAGAGCCATGGAATGTTTTTAAGCCAATTTGTTGAGCAATAAAAAATAAATAAATAAAATCTACAAACATTATTTGTCTTTCCTAATATATCTTTGATCAAATAACATGTCCCCAGGCAGTTATATAAAACTACCTCTAAATCAGTTAATAGGAAAAAAATGTTATGTGTTCAGGAGTGTATTTCACCAAATATCCAGGTTAGCAGTGCCTTTACACATGGGGACAGGGGAGTAAAACTAATTATTGTACATAAGATTTTCTTACATATGATACATAAACCAAAGTGAAGTGATAGTTATATTTTTGCTATCACAAGACCTGTGGGCCAAAATCTGTTTTTTTCAATCTGTTCTTCTCTTCATTCATCTTGAAAATGATAAATAAGAATGGTGATAACAAAAGAGAGAAATATGAAACAGAGGAATATAGGGACAAGTAAATCTTCAGCACTACGATCTAAGAGTATTCCATCTCCTCTTTTTCATACTGACTCGTCTCTCTCCTGCCAAATTTAAGCACACCTGTAGTACTTAAGCACACCTGTACTATTTAAGCACACCTTAGAAAGGGCTATCAAAGTAATTTACCTTAGCAAAACAACTGAACCAAACTTTGGTTCAATCCAGGGCTTCTTATATGAGCGCATCCTAATTCTATCTTAAAATTTAATCAAAGTTATATATTATACTTTATGAAACTTTTTGGTGGAATGGGTGCTCTTAACATCTTTTTAATTTGTATACTGAAAAGTCTGGATGTATAAGTAATCAAATGATTAAGTAATTAAAAATAAGACAAACTTTCTTCTCCCTACTTGTTTAAGAGTTCATTAAAAAAACTTCATTAAAAAGATAAGGATTGATGGCTGAATGCTATCAACTATAAATGACAAATATCTCTTCATAAACACTATTATTTACTGCAGTTATCAGTGCCTTTCCTCCCCATAGTTCTGCTCTTGCCATAGAGGTCTAAGCTTGGGAAAATATTAACAATGCTAAGCACTGATGCTTATAATCCCAATACTTTAGGAGGCGAAGGGGGCAGATCACCCAGGGTAGGGAGTTCGAAACCAAGCTGACCAACATAGAGAAACCTTGTCTTTCCTAAGAATACAAAAAATTAGCTGGGCATGGGGACACATGCCTGTAATCCCAGCTACTCAGGAGGCTGAGGCAGTAGAATTGCTTGAACCTGGAAGGCAGAGGTTGCTGTGAGCCGAGATCATGCCATTGATTGCACTCCAGCCTGCGCAACAAGAGTTAAACTCCATCTCAAAAATAAAAAATCAAAATAAAAAAGCACTGAGTAGGAAGGAGCATTTGGATATATGGTCATACATCACAAGCTACATACACACCTCTGGGCCTGGCTCTTGGGTTTCTTAGTTAACAAGAAATCCATCTTAGTTAACACTGTGGATCTCCACTGTGTGCTGTAATAGGTAGCTATGCAAACTCTCAAGCTTCATTTTCCTCATCTGTATCTCCACTTCATAGTGTGGCTGTGGGAATCAGTGGACATAATGTACATGAAACAATCAACACTGTGCCTGGCATTTAATAAACAGCCAATGACTTGTAGCTATGTTTGCAGCAGCAGTAATAAAAACTTTTCTCCTAAAAGAAGGCTTTACAATCTCACCTGACAAATACAGAATTTACAGAGACTAATACTCTGCCAAAAAGAAAAATTATCTTTCAAAGTAATCCAAGTAAAATGTGTATGAAAAGACTTTGAATGTAGTCTGGCTTCTTGCCAGATGACTTTCAGTCTCTGCATTCAGAACAAATACATTACTCTAAACAGCTTCAAGAAAGACCACAGACTTCTGAGTGACCTGTTACAAGTCACTGACATGCTTTGAATCTCAGTCTCCTCATCCATAAAGTGGGAGTAAGAATCTTCACAGCATCAGGTAGTATTGGGATTTTAGATATTAGCAAAAGGTCTAACATTATCTTTCACATAAGGGATAATTATTTTAAAGCAGATTGAATAACAGAAGTCATCAGAAGATTTACTCAAAGCAAGAAAGATTCTAAGAGAAAAATTTCCATCCTCTGTACTCATTGTTCTCTTCTATGAAGCATTCTTGCCTTCTGTTGTACTCAAATGTGCTCCTCCTAAAATGCTACAGAAGTTGATTTTATTTCTTTCATCTCCATATCATCTTCCAGCCTCTCCATCACCTTCCAACTGCATATCAGGGGCTTGTACAAAGACAGTAATAAATTGATGCTTGAAATGCCCAACTGCAGGAGAATGTTTACCTCACTATAATTTAGCCTGAGGGAAAGTGGGACCTTCCTCCAGAAAGAGGAAGAGAAGAACAGGAATGTTAGGAGACTACAAATTATTTTTTTTAACCACCAATGGGAAACATTTCAGAAACAATATTTTGCTTAGCTCACTTCACTCCCTTACTTTCAACTTAAGATAAGAGTGACATCTGAGAACAAAGCTTACCTATTTGCACCATTTCTTCGTTACCAGCCTGGAAAGGAGGGGGAAAGCAAGAAAAAGAAACAGTTACTGGGTTTCATCTTATCACCTTGTGAGTTTTATTTCTACCATTAATGCTTTCCAGGAGCTAACTAATCAGGAGATGCTAGAGACTGGGATTGGTGCCTAAAGGCTGCACCTTGGTTTGTAGAAGGTTCTCGTGACAGGAGCATGAGCCAATTTCATAACAATTTGGGGAAGGGAATTGTTTACCCCTTTTCATTTTAACACTTACGAAGCCAGCGAAAATAAATCCTGACACTCAATAATCTCTTGTGAAAACTCATACTGGATCTGGATTAGAAAAGACAGTCTATGAATTTAAACTGGCCAAAAGAAGCCTAACAGGGGGCCTGATTCATCAGATTTAAGGTCAGGACTCAACTAGACAATTCTCTACTTTTTACCCTAAGGTCGATCAGAACAGGCAGCCGGGAGAAGCCAGGAAAAGTAACAGAGAAATTCTGTACCCAAAGTCCCATCGGCCCAGTGCTGATATGATTTACTACAAACGGCTCCCCTGGCGGAGCCTTCTCAAGGACTCTTCTGAGAGCATCGGGCTTCACCTTGAGTCTCCAAAGGGTTGGAGGCAGGGCCGAAAAGAAACAGAGCTGCACTAAACTTAGCTTTAAAAAGAGGAGGAGTTGTGCAGAGGGGGAGGGGAGAAGGCGGCCGGCGCCGGTAGCCTCTGCCCAGGAAAACGCAGGGCAGGAAACATCTCCAGCCCCCCTCCCCAACTGTCAAACCCTAACCCCGCAGTAGTCCTCCCAGGACACGTGTCTACTGGATCTCTCCCTGTCCGGCTCAAGGACTTCCTGAAACCCCCGCCTCCGGCTGCACAAAAACACCGTGAGTCGGTTCGGACGAGAGAAAGCCCCGGGAACCCAACTCCCGAGGCAGCAGCCAGAGCGCTGGGATCCCAGACCCAGCGTCCAGAACTTCATTCAAGCGCCGAGACCGCCCTCCAGAAAGGGGAAGCCCAGATGGCGCGGCGAGGATGGGAACTGGCTGCGATTTGTCACCAGGAGTTGTTACGAATGTCGCAGACTGGTGAAGCCCTAGGTGTGACAAGCCTGGACTCCTGGAGTGGGAGTCACAGCCTCCCGTGCAACTCAACCCTCCACCCTTAAAAGCCTGCACGCTGCGCCCAGCCCTCAAAACACCGTTCCTGAACGCAAAAGATAACAGGGAAGGGAGGGAGGAGAAGGAGGAAAGAGAGGAGGGTAGAGAGGGGAGGAACTTTTCGGGAAAAGGTTGGGTTTGAGTTTTATATTGTTATTATTTTCCACTTACTTGTCCATCAGCTGAAGTCCTAACCACTACCAGAGCGGCTGCTATCAACCAAAGTGACAGGAGAACCATCACGAGTCGAGTTCACTTTCCAACTACTGGGCAAAGCAAATGCCCAGAGCAAACCCCCCCCAAAATAAGTTTCTTTAAGAAAAAAAAAAAAAAAAAAAAAGGAAAGGAAAAAATGCAAAATAGAAAAAAATGATCTTCTGTGCTTTGCTTCAATGAAAATGAAATTTGAGCTCTGAGACTGGCCCCCTCTGCTCTGCAGTTCTTTCCACTTCACCTTCTCACCCCAAACAGAGCGTGCAGGAGCGAGAAGGTGCTGCAGGCGGGCACGGGCTGCGCCCGGGAGAGGGGGAAGGGACGAGGGGCTTTCCAACTATCACTGCCCAAAGCAGCTTTTCCGAGGCTTTTCGAGCACCATTGGTCCCTAAGGTTAGCGCGGAGAATGCTTGGATTCCCCGGAGCACAGCAGGGGGAAGTATTAGCGAAAGAGACGAGCTAGCGGGAGCGGGAGAAAGAGGCAGGGAGAGGGCGACTCCGCCGCACACGCAGAGGTGGGGGCGGGAGGAGCGAAGGGGAGGAGGAGGAGGCAGGCGGAGGAGGTGGGAGGAGTGGGCCGCTCGCAGGCTCCTGTTGCTCGCAGCGCGGCAGTCTGCTGGCTGCCGGCGACCCGCGGGGCGCTAATAAGGCGGCCGGAGCTCCCAGGACGGCCCCTCCCGCCGTGGCGCCCACGTCACGCGGGGCCCGAACCCGCGCCCCTCGCACCGGGTCAGGATTGGAGACCGCTCCGGGGTTTGTGTGGCCCGTGCTCGACCTCCCACCCTGGAGCCTCTCCTTCTCCGCCTAGGGCGAGAGGAGGGGAGGGTCCAGGGGCGCCACGGGTCCAGACTGGCGGGACGCGCAGTTGAGTTAATTATAGGAAGGGGGAGGGTCCTAGGGCTGGTCCTGGGCTGTAGGAAATTCACCTCCTCCAGCCTCCACTGTTCTCCCAGCCAGGGAATTCTCCCCGAAGAGAAGCCCTGGAACCTCCAGATCTTAACCACTCGGTGATCTCCCCTCCAGGCACCAGTCACCCCCACGTTTTGGGAGTGGGTGTCCTTCTCTAAGCTCTTGTTTAGGCTTTATTCATTTATATTAGTTTTAAAAGATACCGCGTCCCTTCCTTGACTCACCCGGATGCTTCGGTTTATCACTCGAGTGCACAGGCCTCAGGGACTCTTCCTCACACCCAGATTAAGTTATCAAATGATATCTGCCCACTGTGGCCTAGCGCTTCCTTAGAGGAAATGACACCAACCTGAGAGTTTGCTGGAATCCTAGCCCAGGCCCACCTCCCAAGCGTAGACACCTGTGGGTGCTTTCCAGAAAGCAGGCAGGAGGAAAAGGAAATAGTTCCAACCTCCACTGACCCGTCCACTAGCCAGGAGTGAGTAGGCACAAATTTAGATATGAACTTCAAGACTTCAGCTGGACAGAGTCTTGAAGTAGGCCTCTCTACAATAAAACGAGCTAGTGTTTATCTTGCTATGAAATGCTTGGATAAGTCATAGTTCCTGTTCTTTTTTAAAAGCAATGTGAGTTTGGAGGGTTTCCTATAACTTCGATTCATTATTTATTCCTAGAGAGGTACAGTGATAGTTGTGCCTTTAACTTAAGCATCGAAAGATTTGGTGTTCACTTACGTTTTATCTGCTAAGTCTTCTCAAACTCATATTGAGGACATTTACATACACAGATGAGGAATTAGATAACTAATTGGCCCCACCTGGTAAAGCAGGGTATTGGGTCATTTACTAATTAATTGGAATTAGAATTACACCCCAGCACTGAAATATCTCTATCTTACTTTTTATTTCAATTAAAACCTGTAGCATTTTTGTAACCTGTCATTGACTAGCTATCCAGGAGTGATTAGCTAAATTTTACACCAGGTTTTTCTATTCATTAAAAAGAAATGACCCTAAGCATTCCATACATTAAAAATTTGTCAATTTACACTGACAAGTAAAAGAATACTGGAGATGCACATCAGGAGATCTAGGTTCCAGACCCAGCTAACAGCTGTCTGACCTTGGCAAGTCAGACTAAACATCTATTTTGGTCTCTCCCCTATGAGATATTTGAGATCTAAAATCCTCTGATTTTAGGTAATAACAAATAATGTATTTAACCATGGTGTTACAGTAGGCCCTTTTGTGTTAATTTGACAACATTCAGACATTAGTTATCACCTAACTCCTGGCACAGCAAGCAATTCAAGTGACTTTCAGGAAAGTAGTGGCTTCAGACGTTTTTGGCCATGACCACAGAGAGAAATGCACATTGCATAGCGAGCCAGTAAAAATTTCATGATTCAGTACTTACCTGTACTGCATGTAACAACCTTGATATTTTTCTTGCCATTCTTTCCTCCCCACCCCAATTGCAGATGAGGACTTAATTGATTTCACAACCCAATAAGTCATGACTCTCACTTTGACAAAGATCAACTTAAGAGCATACAGTAAGGCTTTTTTTTTTTTTTTTTTTCATTCTAAATGAGTTCTAATTAATAGGGTTCTCCCAATATATTCTAAGGCATAGTTTCCCAAAGTATTTCCTGGAATATTAAACATTTTACCAGGAAAAGGAAAATTCTCTGATAGTCAACTAAATTTATGAAATACTTAGATGAAGGAAATAAAACAGATCTCCTTCTTTCAGACTTCAGGGGGCCTATTAAACCAAAAAAAAAATGTGAGTCTTCAAGGGAGAGATGTAGCACAATTTGATCTCCTTTGACCATAGAATTCTTTTTTCTCATGTTTTATCCTCTGTGGAACCCACATAGGGAAATGCCATTACAAAGCTCAACTATTAAAGCAAAATGAACTTCGAGTTAGATAGGCTGGATTCTCATAAGGATTCAGCTTCAGTTTTCTCAACTATAAAATTGGTTTCATAATACTACTTTTGCAAATTCTTCATGAAAATAAACATGATCTTACATGTCAACTCTAGCACATTGTCTAGAACGTGTAAGGGCTTCAGGGTAATTTTTTAAATAAAACTGATGGCATAGGTACAGATGGCTCATTGGTAATGAAACATGGCAAGGCCTAAAGAAAACAGGAAAATGTTAACGCTGAAACGTGATTGACTTTTAATTTTACCAGAGAGGATGTTAGGAGTCAGAGACAGAGTCACTGAGTTCCTTTCAAAAACTGACCCCTACCAGACTGCCTCATGTCAAATCCCTTTGGCTCAGGCTACAGTGTTGTTTTCAACACACCCTCAAGTTCACATTCTCACTCATAGTGATTGATTTCTTAGTCCATAGCACCCTTTCTCTTCCTGTCCACATGGCAAAGAGCATCATATTACAGGAGGTGCTAATAGGAGCTCCACAAAAGTACTACACCAATGCTTGTACTGTGTTTTCTTTCAAAATATATTTTAAGCATATAAATAATTTCAAATGTAGCCATATATATTTAGTCTCCCTAATGGAAAATCATCTCTTTTAAAATAAGTTTCTTGAAATCAGTTGATATATTGACATTTTAACCTGTGTACCCTCATATGGGCAGCAATTAAGTAAGCAGAGAGTTGTGGGAGCTTTTCTGTTGAAGTCTGACTGGTTAATGTCATAATTTGATGACATTCTGATACCCAATATTTATTGTGTATTAAAGCAATGAATAAAATTTTTGTCATTTCTTACAGCAAAGCATTCATTTAAAATTCATTTATTAGTTTTTTTTTTCTTTTTTGGTTTTTCCTTTTGGTTGTTTATCTTTCCCATACTCTTACTATAACTAATAATCTTCTGTCGATATTTATTAGATACATTACAATTTTTACATTTACAATTTTTAATTTCTTCCCATGATCAAATAAATTTGAGAGTTCTGCAGTCAACTTTGTTCAAAGTATAAGTATAAAACTTTACTGCATCATAGGTGGCTAGGTTTATATCCACCTCCTTCTTTAAATTGCAGTTTCCTTGAAGGTCTTAATCTTTGTTTTGTTTACTTTCTATCACCAATATCTCACACAATTTCTATCATACAAAAGTTGCACAGTACTTTACTGCACCTTGAACATCTCCAGGCAAAATTGTGTCATTTTATTCGTGTCTGCTGATGAGCTTTATTCCTCATCTTAGGATTCTTGACACCTAGAACTAGCTTAAAGGAATATTAGAGTAGGTACACGGGACTCACCACTATAGGACAGTGAAAGCTGGGCCTAAGTCAATCTTTTCCACTCCCACATCCTATATCCTCATAGAGCACAGCTCCAGGACATGCAAACTGAGAAAACAGAGTTGAGAGCAGCATGTACAGAATTATTTTGTTGCTCACTGAAAGCAAGAGTCATCCTCAGTCTCTTCCTCTCACACAGCACCCTCCCATTTTATATAATATTGATTTCTTTCATTCATGGATCAGAGAATCAAGTATGTTATATGTACATTATGCCTATTTTTTTTTTAACCAAGACATTAGTTTGGTAAAGAGTTAGGATGTCAAACTTTTGTACTCATAGAATACAGCCTGGCACATAATAAGCACTGAAAGAATAATTGTTAAATGAATGAAGAAGTGAATATTTACTGTCTCTACTTCAAGTGAATATTTACTTCTACTTATTACTTCTTCAGTGAAATGAGTAGGGAGTTGTTTTCATTGTTTCTGTACTGTCAGTGAATAAGCTATTTCCACTTGAGTCTTTTTCACAAAAGTTTTCAGAAGTTCCATAAAAAGATTTTTAAAAATCAAACAACAGGGGCCAGGGGCAATGGCTCATACCTGTAATCCCAGCACTTTGGGAGGCCAAGGCAGATAGATTTCTTGAGGTTAGGAGTTTGAGACCAGCCTGGCCAACATGGTGAAACCCCATCTATAGTAAAAATACAAAATAGCCAGGCACGGTGGTGCACACCTATAATCCCAGCTACTTGGGAGGCTGAGGCAGGAGAATCGCTTGAACCTGGGAGGCAGAGGTTGCAGTGAGCTGAGATTACACCACTGTACTCCAGCCCAGGCAACAGAGTGAG